ATATTTCCAATATAACATTAAGTAGGTAAAATTATTATAATATATATTTTTTGCCTTGTTTCCGTACTTAAAAGGGAAAGCATTCAGTACTTTGTCACAGTGGGTTTTGTTACTGTTGTTGTTGACATTTTGTAGCTGCCCATGTCAGGTTAAGGAATAATGTTTTTGTTACYGGATTGGGGAGAATTTTTGACTTGATTACATGTGAAACTTGCCGATTTTTCCTGCATCAATTGATATGAACATGTGTTCTTTCTTTTTAATCTGTTAATATGGTGTATCATATTGACTGATTTCCCAATATTCAGTCCATCTTATGCTCTCTCTTGATTGCCATTTATTATTCGTTGTATATTTTGCTGGATTCAGTTTGCTAATAGTGTGTGAATTTTTGTGTCTATGCTCATGAGGGATATTGGTTTGTAGTTTTCTTCGTGTTTCCTTGTGTGATTTTAGGCCAGGATAATGCTGGCCTCAGAAAATAAGTTGGTGATTATTACCTCTTCTATTTTCTGAAAGATCATGTAAAATTGATGTTATTTTGAAATGAACTGAATGTTTGTTTTCCCCCCAAAATTATATGTTGAATCCTCAATCCTGATGTGATGGTATTAGAAGGTGGGGCACTTGGTAGGGAATTACACCATGAGGCTATGTAGAGCCTTTAGTGCCCTTATAACAGTGATCCCAGAGAATTCACTTGCCCTCTTTCCACCATGTAAAGCACACAGCAAGAAATGAATGATGAAGCAGATATTGTGACCTCACCAGATGACATATCTACCAGCCTTTTGATCTTGGACTGCCTAGCTTCCAGAACTGCAAAATATGTTTCTACCGCTTATAAGCAACCCAGGCTGTGGTACTTTATTATAGCAGCCTAAACTGACTAARAAGTCTTCCTTAAATGTTTGTAAAATTTAACAATGAACCATTGGGGACTGGACTTTTCTGTTTTGAAAGTTTTTTTTTAAATTCAATTTCTTTAATCATTAAAGGTCTATTTAGGTTGTCTAGTTCTTCAAAAATGAGATTTATTAGTTTGTGGTCTATTTCATTGATGGTTATTGTTGGGGATGCATTGTTCCTACTATTGCCTTATAATCCTGGTAATATCTATGAGTTTTAGTTACTCCTCTTTTGGAATTCAGGATATTTGTAACTTGGGTCTTCCCTCTTTTTTCATTCTTAGTCTAGCTAATCCTTGTATTAATCTTTTGAGRGAAATGGGGTTCTTTTTTGGCCTCATTTATTTTTTTCTATTACCTTTCTTTTTTTCAATTTTACTGATTTCTGCTACTTATCATGTCCTTCTTGCATACAATTTACGTTTATTTTGCTGGTCTTTACAAGTGGAAGTTTATRTTATTGACTTGAGATCATTCTTCCATTTTAATAGGAACTTTTAAAGCTATCAATTTCCCTCTACTCACTGATTTGGATGCATACTTACCATAAGTTTTTTATGTTGTGTTTTCGTATTTTTCAGTTTGAAATATTTTCTAATTTCCCTTGAGGTTTTTTTGACCCATGGGTTATTTACATTGTCTGTTAGCTATTTTGAAAATTTCCAGTTACCTTTCTTTTTTAGGGGAGATGGGTACAGGGATTGAACCCAGGGGAACTTGATCACTGAGCCATATCCCCATCTCTACTTTGTATTTTATTTACAGACAGGATCTCACTGAGTTGCTTAGCACCTCGMTCTTGCTGAGGCTGACTTTGAACTCASGATCCTCCTGTCTCAGCCTCCCAAGCCACAGGAATTACAGATATGGGCTACCGTGCCTGGCTCAGGTTATCTTTTATCACTGATTTATAATTCAATACCATTATTTTCAGAGATCATTCTTTATATGATTCCCACTTACTGAAATTTGTTAAGGCTTGTTTCCTGATTCAGAACATACAACATATTTGTGACTATTCCATGTACTCTTGAAAAGAAAGTGTATTCTGCTGCTGTTTCATAGTGTTTTACAAATTATCAGTTGGATCTAGTTGCTTGGTGGTAATAGTTGTTCTGTATCAGTAGTTCTAATCTGGGGGCAGTTTTGCTCCTCAGTGGACATTGGGCAATATCTAGAGACATTATTGGTTGATACAACTAGTGGGCAGCTACTGGCATCTAATGGATAGACTCTTCTGGCCTTACACTGTTGGACATCCTACCCTGCACAGGGTCTTCCCTCTCATCTTTACCAATAGCCAAGAATTTTCTGGCCCAATTTCAATAGAGCTGAATCTTGAGACTGAGTCAATAGAGCTGAGGTTGAGAACACATTGTTCCTTGCTGATTTTTTACTTGCTGTATTGATTATTGAGAAGAAAGCATCGATATCTTTAGCGATAACTACAAATTTGTCTATTAATATTATTAGCTTTTGCTTCATTTATATTGAAGCTCTGTTGTTAGGTATATACATATTTAGGATTTTTCTTTGTTTTCTTGGAAAATGTCATTTTAGTATATTTTTCTCCCTTTCAGCTAAATTTTCTTGTTCTGGAATATTCTTTGTCTGAGATTAATGAAGTTGATTCAGCTCCTTTAGTGTTTTCTTGGCATGTCTTTTCCCATTTCTTTCAGTTAAACTCATTTTTGTTTAAAGTGAACTTCTGATACATACCAATGTTTATAACAGTACCATCCACAATAGCTTGGCTAGGTGTACCCATCAGCAGATGCATGGATAACCCCAGGTATGAAAACACAAAACAAAACAAACAACAACAATAAAAACAAACAAACAAAACCAGATTTTCTTTGCTCTGACTGATCCTAAAAGACCCCTTTCCTGTTCCCTGGACTAAAATTACAATAATGACAAGATCTTCTTGAAAATCAGAAATCTTTCTGCCCTCACTTGATGTTTGGGGTTGCCTTTGAATCCAGGCCAAGAGATACAGATGGGAGCAGGAGGGAAGACTCAGAAAACATGCCACCAGATTGTTCTGAGTTAGGGGTTTTGTCTTTGATCATCCCAATACCACTTGTCTTTAAGTCCTCAGTGTGCTTCTCTGTGTGTTCTGCCTCAGGTCTTTACATGCTTTCGGTGGGCAAGGTGGGGCAGGGTGCCCACACTCTCACTTCACTGTAACAGGAAGCTTTAAAGCTGTCTTTTTAAAGCTGCTTTAACCTACCTGGCTTCTCTGAGCTGAATGATACAGAAACTTCCTAACTGGTGAACAAAGTGCCAGGCCTGGTGACCAGCCAATTATGCCTGAGTGTGGTATGTCCGCCATTTCTGAGAAATAGAATCAGCTAACAAGGCTTGCTCAAAAGAATATCAGTGCTGCCAAGAACTGAGACTCCTTTCACTGATTTACTGTGGAGATCAACACACCAAGCCCAGGAGGCTATGATCTAACAGGATTGAGTAAGGCGAGACCCTCTGGTCTTCAATTAAGAGTGGTGATAGTGGGATTCATTATAAGCACAGGAAGGTCATTTTTTTCCCTTCGGACCCTGAAGATTACTGAATGAGAAACATGTGAGATAATRGGTCACACATCCTAGTTGCTGGAGACTCATGAACATGGCTCCTGATAAAAGAGTCTGGATGATGGAAAACATACGTGTCTCCCTATCTACCTTTCCTGGGGCTAGAGGCAATACAAGTGTTTGGCTTCCAATAGCATGCTTCTGAATGCTATTGGGAAACTTGATCCAAAAGTAGGAAATCAGCAAACAAGAGCCATCAAATTCTAGAAGAAGAAAGGGGTTGCAGAAACACAAAGAACAGTGTTTGCACCCTCTTCCTTGCTATAGAACTTTTTCGCTTCTGAGTCTCAGTGTTCCTCGCTTTATGATAGGGATGCTTCCATGGATCTTGTTGGGTTGTTGAGGATTGGRGACACTATGTTTAATAACTAAAATTAAGATGTTACTGTGTGGCAGGCATTGGTAAAAGTTCTATGTAGTAGTACAGATAATTTTCCCTCCCTAAGAGCTCTTTGAGGGGGTTGTTTTCACAAAACAAGGAAATTTGGGCATTGAGAATTTAAGAAAATTATTAGCAGCAGAACTGAATTTCTAAGTCAAGAATGCTGAGGCTAGAATCTTCCATCCCCTCTACATTCTACTTCTCTGTGTGGTGGCATTCATAACTATCATAACACCTATGCATGCAGGGGATTCTACTRTGAGGCTGGGGAGGGGTAGGAGGTGGAGAAAGGAAGCATTGTCTTATAGCTTCACCTGGCTAAACTCCAGTCCTCTGCATGCTTATAGTGTAGGCAAAGCCTGACAACCTGGGCTCAATATAGCTCCTGTTGCCCTGTATTTATATTAGTCAAGGCCTGACTGATTCCTCTGAGTCCAAAAGGTGAAGAGAGATAAAATAAGTCTTTCTTAACTCCCACTTGATTTCCTCATAACCAGGCTTATGTTGCATCTGATTGAAAACCCCTTCTTAGGACAGTCATATGAAGAAGACTCTAAACTTATATGGGGTATAGGAAGTGGCAGATAGTCAAGAAACACATGTGCATGCATGTGCACACACACACATACACACACACACACACACACACACACACACACACACACACACACACCTGGGGTCAGGAGTACATGTCAAAGCCCAGGACAATGGACGCATTCATAAGTCATAAGGATGCTAGAGATGCATTCAGCATCCTTTAGGTCAACCACGCACCTGCCTTTCAACATCTAGGAAAATTGAAGCCTGAAAATTGCACACAACTTGATAATTGAGAGGAATCAGAGCATCAGCAGAAGTAACCCACCCAAAAGTCTTTACCAAATTCTACTGATGCTCTGACTCCTCTCAATTATCTGTTTGTATTCTTTTAGACCATCATGGAGCAAAGCACATGATTTGGGGCTAGTCCAGTACCCTTATCTCCTCTCGTAACTAATTTTTCTTTTTGTTCATACCAGAGTCTATCTTCTAGAATTTTCATGTAACTCCTTCCTCAAACTGATTACCATCCAATCAGAAAAATATTCTTCAAACAAAGTCTCTTAGTAAAAGAACATGGCCCAGGTTGGGAGAGGCATGAAGGGCAAGAAGATCACCTTCAATGTGGCCAAGAATTGTATTAGAATTACTTTTGATGGGAAAAGACGCCTCGATCTGAGCAAGATGGGACTTACCTCCTTCCCCAAGTGCATTCTGCGACTCAATGATGTGGACGAGCTTGATCTTAGCCGGAACATGATAAGGAAGATCCCTGAATCTATTTCCAAGTTCCAGAACCTGCGTTGGCTGGACCTGCACAGCAACTACATAGATAAGCTCCCTGAGTCCATTGGCCAGATGACCACCTTGCTCTACCTCAACATCAGCAACAACAAGCTGACCACCAACGGACTGCCTGTGGAGCTGAATCAACTCAAGAACATCCGTACTGTCAATCTGGGTTTGAACCACCTGGACAGTGTGCCCACCACACTGGGTGCTCTGAAGGAGCTCCATGAAGTGGGGCTCAATGACAACCTGCTAAAAACCATTCCAGCAAACATCTCCAAGCTCCCCAAGCTGAAAAAGCTTAACACGAAGAGAAACCCTTTTCCAGACACTGAGCAGTCAACCTCATTCATAGATTCCATTAAAAGGATGGAGAACCTGTATCTGGTGGATGCAAAAGATCTGTGTGGGCCCTGCCTGCGGAAATGCCAAYTGGCCCGGGAAAATCTGAACAAAATGAAGAGCATGGTTTTGCCAGGACCCAGAAAAGCCATCTTCCCAAATTTGGTCTCACCCAACTCCATGGCTAAGGATTCCAATGAAGACTGGAGGTGACCTGGGACCCTGACCCTGAGGCAGGAGAGGAAAAGGTGGAGGGAAGGGGCAGTGGGCTGCATCCACAGGAAAGTGAAGGCTCTTCCCATTACGTCTATAGCTCTTCCTCCCAAGCCCATAAACACCTTCCTCTACCTCCTCTGCTTATGATTTTGCTGATGAAAGGGCTTTTGGTTCCTTGCCAGTGACATACCTTTCCCTCTTCTCTGCAGGCACATACCCACATGTACAGACACAGTGATTCTGAGAAAGGCCATCCATCAYGCATCTCACTTGTGCCCCAGAATTCTCCTGCCTACTACTCGCAGCCGCAGCAGCTCTTGCTGCCAGCATGCTCTTATTCTCATTCTCACTGGCATTTCAGGACCCACAGCCAGTACCCAAAAGTTCTATGGGAGTTTTTTGAATCTGAGCTTCAAAGGGCAGCAATCCCATAGGATGAGTTGGTGGGACAGAAGATGGCACTAGTCTTGGGTGAAGAACAAAGACAAGCTAGAGAGAGGAACAGGTCTTATAGTGAAGTATTGGTGGGTATCATCTTGGATCTAGAGCTGTACTATCCTTTCCTCTTATCTGCACTTGCAAAATTTGCTCCAGGAGCTTTCTAGACTAAACCTGCAGGCCCTTGAACTGGCTGTGAATGAGTGAACCTATTTCATCCTGTGCTTTTCCATACCCTTGTGGGGAGGTAGGAAAGAACAGAGGCAGGCATGGGTTATTGGTTGGTGTTTTAAACAAATAAATACCTTACTAGACACCATGCTAGGTGCAGGACCCCTGTCCAGTTGGGAAAAGCTTGGCTTGCCTGCATAAACTGGAAGAGAAACTATCTGAAAGAAGGTGGGTAAGAACATCATAGTCTGAGGAATTAAGGATATTAGGACCATGGTCTTCGTAACCATGATTTAAGACTTCTCAAGATAATTATAAATATACATAACTATAAGCTATGGTTAGACTTTTAAGGTGTGCAGGGTTGGCCTGGCATAGAGAAAAGCCAGATTCTTCTCATTGGATAGGTCCATGACATCTCTGCTTCTCTTGCCAGACTTTTGGAGTACCTTACTTAGCATTCCCTCATCTATAAAGTAGGAATAGTACCATACCTAACTGCAAGAGCTGTCATGCATCTAAAACAGGCAGCACAAAGAATATGAACTCACTCACACAGGTTCTCTCCTGGACAGTGAGCTTGGTGCRTCTCAAAGCTGAAATACCATCTTGGATAGTGGCACAAGTCACAGGATCTTTGGGCAGAAATGATAGTATAGAGACAACCCTAAAATGACTTATGAACCTTCTTCTGCCCTCACTGTTTGCCACTCASTTATAACCTCATACTGACTAAGAGGAAGGGACTGAGAAAGACACCTGAGGAAGGTTCTTCCCCCACAACTTTCCTGAGTGGTGGCAAGTTTGCTGTCGTGGTCATTGTTCAGCATGRAGCCTCCATCTGAGTAGGGGGATTAGCTTATCTCTTTTTCACAATGTGAATCACAGCAGACAGTATGCTTCATTTTTTTCTCCTACTTTATTTCCTTTTTTAATGCTTAGCTCCCACAACTTTGTTGCACTTTGAAAATTTCAGATCTAGATTCAAAATTCTAATCTTACTTTCTTCCCTTTATTAAAACTTTCTGCTAGAAAGTAACAAAACCTCAATCTAGTTTYAAGTACAATAACTTAAAGTACCCACTATTCTACAGTGTAAATAATTTCTAATATTGGCAGCCTTCCTTACTAGTTATTTTTCTTTGAATCTATTTATGCAGAGTTAAAATTACAGCATTCCTGTCATTTCTATCCTGCATTGCAGCCCACATTGTCATGCAGTCTTTATAACCATAATATGAAACATCTGCAAGAGAGTTATTCTTATGGATATGCATAACTATAGGTTACTTTGGGCATTTAAGTTGTTTGCAATTTTGTTGTTGTTAATGGAAATGGTTTTGTGCTGAGAGGCTGGATTACTAAAATGTTTTTTTTAAATAATTTGGATGATTTATTTGTATATATGCATTGCTAGAAATATTGTGTGAAAGGTTTTTTAAAAATATAATTTTTGATGTATGCCAAGAATAAGTTCACATATATTTGTCTACCAGTAATATGCTAGAGAGCCAGCATCAAGCACTGCCCATTACACTTTTCATTGAATGTCAGCAATGGTTTATTAGAAGCCCTCTTAAGAGTGGGGGCAGTCATGTCTGAGATATGCATGATACCTTTGGTTCAGGGGCCTCACTAGGTTGCTGGGCCCTGGGCATATCCATAAGGAAGACAGGCTGGCATTTTTGTTACTTCCTCTTTGACCCAATAGGGACAGAATTCATACAGAGGACACACATCTAAGCAGATTGGGAGCTAGTTATTTGGATATTGCTCATTTCAATTACTCTCCTCTTGAGGCATTTTTGTATTTTGGAGAATTAGCATCACCTTCTTAGGTACGTAAAAAGATCTGCAGAACAGAGTAGTTAAGAAAAGCCTTGCAGTTACTGATCCCACCTCTGCCCCCAAGGAGGATCCAGGTCTGGGGCAGGGGTTTATCACTCTGCTCCTTCCTCTGCCCCTGGCAGCACAACCCTCACTGTGCTTGGTCAGGTCCACCTCCTGGATTTGCTGCCAGTGGTTGGTTGGCATGCAAGCTGACAGCCTCGCTCTAGTGTTCCATGATGTTTTTGCTCTTATCTCCAGGTCCTAAGAAGGGGTTTCAGGGCACTGGAGTTCACCAGAGTTGAGCAATGAATGGGCAGTGGGCTTTGATTTGCCACTGAAAGTACTCAGGTCAGATACCATTTTAGAAAGAAAATGCTGGCAGTAGAATGAAGCACAGACTGGAGATATTGACTAGTTAGGAGACTGCATTTTATTTCTTTTTCTGCCAAGGAAAAGTTTGATGATAATGTTCCTTCATACTCTAAAATGCCACCATTACCTTTACCTCCTGGAGATGGTATAAAGCCTAAGAATATTTGATAGTAAATCCATGGGATTTCTCTTTCCTCAAGTAGAATAAAAACTGACTTTTCACTTATCCTTACCCTATCCATCGCTCTTTTGGGAAGCTAGCCATGACCTGGGTGACACTGATGTGACCTCAGGATGACCTGTGTTTTGCCTTGTGGTCTGGAGAAGTTGCTCAGCCTCTTTTGTCTCCATTCCCCAGGATGCGCACACCTTCCTGGAATAGCTTACGACAAAGACAGGAAGAGTAATCAACTAACAGGAATCAGCGACTCTGAAGAGGAGAAGCCCTGAGTTAGGAGAAGACAAAGAGTGACACAGGGAACATTCTGGAAGTCAGGCTCTCTGGTGCTGCCCAAGCCACTGACTTGCCTTAAGAATATCTGCTTTGCCTACCTTCCTTTAGGAAATGTGTGAGAAGGTGTGAAAATGACTTGGGAAAATATTTGAAGTACTTTTTTAAATGTAGAAGAAGCATTTAAGAAAATTATTAATATACTATTGACAAATAAAGACAAAAAAAGATGTTAAGACTTTAAAGGCTTACAATCTCAACTTTTCACTCAACTGGAACAATCAGACACCAGTAGCCTATGAGAAGATACATATATATATACTGAAATACTTCAAGCAACTAACATTTATACAAAATATTTACATAGAGAAATAACCACATTAAAATCTTTTAATTATGCATAGGTAGGCAGAAAACAGAAATGAAGAATAAGGAAAAATCAGAAAATAAAAGATATTTATGTCCCAACATACCAATAATAACATTAAATGTAAATGGTCAACTTTATTTGTAACAGCTACAAACTAGAAACAATTAAATGTCCCCCAATGAACAAATGGTTAACCAAAGTCTGGAATATATCATGGAATACTATTCAGCAATAAAAAAGGAGCACAATATTTATACATGCAACAACTCAGATGGATCTCAATGGCATTGGTTTGAATTTTAAAAGGCCAAAGATTGCATACTCCATAATTCTATTTATAGAACATTATCTAAAGGACAAAATGATAGAGAAGAAAAGAAGACCAGTGGTTACCAGGAATTAAGGATGGTTGGGAATGGCAGGGAGTGGGTATGATCAATAAAGTAGTGGTTCAAGAGATACATTTGTGGTGATAAAATAATTGTATGTGTTGATTATGATGATYATTACATGTGGTAAAATGATAATAACTATGAACATACATGTACCAGTGTAAATGTCCTGGTTTTTGAAATCGTACAATAGTTATGTAACACGTACCCATTGTGGGGAGTTAGATTAGGTGAAGGGTACCCAGGCCTGTCCCCTTTACCACTCCTACATTGAAACACTCTACCTGGCTTCCATCTTCCACCCTTATAATCTGTGTGGCCATTCTGGCTAGTCCTTCCCCATCTCTCCTGCTGGCTCCTCCCCATGTACTTCCCCTCTAGAGGCTGGTGTGCCCAGGGTACAGTCCTAGACTTCTTTTCCATGTTCATGCATTTTCCTGTTGATCTTGGTCTACTCTCGTGGCTTTAAACACCATCTCATTTCCATCTCTTGACCTCTCTCTCAAACTCCAACTTCATATATCCCATGGTCTACACAATGCCCCCACCTAGACACACAACAGGCATCTCAAAATACACACATCTAAAGCCGCCAAGCTCCTGCTATCCAACACAGCCCCATAGAAGCTCTTCCTGGCTGTCCACATTTCATTTTCTAGCTGTTCAAGGCTAAATTCTTGGTCTTGTCCTTAAATCCTTTCTAAGACACACATAAACCTCACACTGGGCTTATCATCAAATCTCATAATTTTTATCTTCAAAATATGTCCACAGTCTGACCATTCACAGCATCTTGGTTACTATCTCCCAAGTCATCCTCATTCACCTGGATTACAGTGTTCCCCTAATCAGTCTCCAGCTTTTGCCCTTGACCTACAAAGGTCTATTCTTGACACAGGAGCCACAATAATCTTTTTTCAATGTAAGTCAGTTCACAAGAATCCTCAGAACTCTCCAATGCTTCCCATTTATTCAGAGTAAAAGCCAACACCATGAGCCCYTGAGAACTGCACAAACTCACCTCTCCTACTCCTCCCCCATCTGCTCTAACTCCCTACACCCCACCAAGGAGCAGCTCCAGCCTCAGCCAAGCCAGCCAGGCTCCCTTCGGGGCATTTTCATTGTTATTCCCTCCATCTAACATATTTTGTGGGTTACCTGTGTAACAGGTTTCCCCAATTCATTCAAGTCTTAATTCAAATATTATTAATAAGAACTTTGAATTCAATGTGAACCTCTCTCTGCTTTGTTTCTTATACTTATTATTTAATATGCTTTACAGTACATTCATTTAAATTGTTTAATATCTAGTCTCCTCACAAGAAGGTAAACTCAATAAGGACAGGAGAATGTTTTTGGCTCTTTTGCTGGTTATTCTGTTAAGTGCCAAATTCTTTATATCACAAGTTATCAAAAAAAATAATTTTTGAATTGGTGAGGCCTATTCCATACTTATTACCACTCCTGGGTCATACTTCCTATCCTATTCCCACATAATTCTGGTGAAAACCAGTAACCATCTTTTCCTCCTATTCTCATTCCTAACTGAAATTAAAAAAAATATTTACCGATTCTGAATTGGCCTCCTAGAGAACTGGGCACCAACAAAGGGGCTCCTGAGTAAGGGCAATAGGCTTTCATTCCCTGGACACACGCCCCATATCACATACCCACAAATCACCATCTGGTGACTATCTCATCATGTATAGACCAAGTTCTCTCATCCAAAATGCTTGGAGAACCACAAATGATTCTGTTTCCACATTTTTTAAATGTTGGAATATTTGCATATACTATTGGGTTATCTTGGGGATCGGACTCAAATCTAACCAAAAAATTCATATTGGTCTGCTGAAAGTCATCAATGACCCTTAAGTTGCCAAGTTCAATGGTTATTTCATATATACCTTAACATACAACCTGAAGGTAATTTTTACAAGATTTCTAGTACATCTGTCTTTTAACTGCCACCTGTCCCATGAGGTCACACATGGAATTTTCCACTTTGTAGCATCATATTGGTACTCAAAAAGTTTTCGATTTTGGAGTATTTTGAATTTTTCTGAATAAGGATTCTTTAACCTGAATTTAGCCTATGAGCATTCAGAAGCACTCATTATGCAAAGACAGACTTGGGATGCTTCCCACATCTGCACCCGAGGGCCTCAACCCCCAGCTGTGCCTATAGCAAACTACCCAACCACCAGTCAGGAGCCGCTTGCCACCATTTGGGTCTGAAAAAGCCACAGAGTGTGTGGAACTTCAGGCATATTCATAGTGGTTTAATTGGAAGAAAGGATTTCAGGATGATGAAGAATGAAAGGAGATGGGAAAGGAAAAAAATAAAGGAGAAATGGGTGGACATGCTCTTTGCATGACTCTTTAAAGTAGGACCAGACAAATATAGACCAGCAAAGTAAGGTCTGCACCAGGCCCAGAGAGCCTCTAGTCCTGACTTACCTTAGATTGAGGGGGTCCTCTGTGACACCTTTCCCCTTCAAGCTGGGCTGGAAAGAGCAAAAGCTAAACAAAAAAAGAGAACAATTTTATCAGGAGAGCCAAGCCCTTCCCACCACCACCAGAGATATTTTCCAAATCAGAAGTTGGCCCATTCTTTCTCCTCCACCTCCCAGTCCCATCCTGTCCTGAGGTCATGAATACCAGGCCCACTGTGCCCTGAGGCATAGCTCATTCTAACTTCAACACCAACAACGATGACAGTAAAACAGTAGGTACTAAAGTCAATGTGCTTGTGGCATCTCCTCTGGGCCAGGCATTTGATARTTCCATGGCCAATTGTGACAACCACTGCTGTCCATTCCAGTGTGTCAGTGCCATCTTAATTTAAGCCTCCTTGATAGCTTTGGAATTTACAYCAGGCTATACTCTTGAACTGAGCTGTGTGTTATAGTGTGGATCTTAAATGTAGCCCCAAAGCCAATGTGTTAAAGGCTTGATTCCCAGGGTGGTGCTATTGAGAGGTGGTGGAAACTTGGAGAGATAGGGCCTAGTGGGAGGTCTTAAGGTCACTGAAGGCATGTCCTTAAAGGGGACTGGGGAACCCCAGCCCCTTCCTCTTGCTCTCATTTTCTTCCCCACCATGAGGTGAAGAGTTTTGTCACCTGCTGCCACCATCACGTGCTGCCTCATCACAGGCCCAAAGGAATAAGGCCAATTGATCATAAACTGAAACCTCCAAAATCGTAAGCCAAAACAAACCTTTTCTCTTTATAACAACTTTCTCAAGTGTTTTATTATAGTGATGGAAAGTTGACCAACACATATGGAGGCATAAGACTTCTAGATTAGCTACAAGAAACTTTTTGTTTTATACCCAGAAGCCATAAGGGGCAAATGAACCAAGTGTAGCATCACTGGTCCACTTTTTCAGTGTAATCTAAAATGGACCTTGAAGACAATTTTAAGAGGCAACCTAGCAGTAGCCTTTGGAAAGAACTCATTGGAAGTGTCACCTGAATCAAAGGGGCATGTCCAGGGCTGGCAGGCACAGCCTCTCTGCAGTTATTTTGCTCCACTCTGGCCCTGTTTCCTGGATGCACTGGCTGGCCCTGGCACCACTTACTGGCAGAAAGGCAAACTTCTGAGTATAGAAAAGGGCTTCCAGAGTAGGGGAGGGGTCAAGTCTCATCTCTTTAGTTCCAGCTCAAAGTGGAGCAGAACATAGCCACCCTCCATTACCCCAACCACAGCATGGCCTGCTTTGACTTTCCTTCCTGTGCTTTCTAGATTCTTTATACATCTATTTGTCTACAACTTTAGTAACAATAAAAAATAAATAACTGAGTATTATGGGTTCAGATACTGGCTCACATTTCCTAAGTTTTCATCTGGTTGGAGAAAGAGGAYGGAGCTGAAGTGACAGGCTTCTCTTTTAAAGAGAAAAGATGCTCCTTGCACCCCTGGAAGGGTGGTTGCTGGGAGTGGTTTCCACTGAAGTTTGAAACTGGAGGGACTGAAATTGGCAATCGGGATCAAAAAGGAAGATTGGACCAAAGAAAAAGCTTAGTTGGAAAATGAGAAAACAAATCCAGAACATTCTGGAAGTCCCATTAAACAACCAGTTTCTGAACTAGGGTATATCTACTCTATTTTTTCTTCTCCTCATTCACTACTGTACTAAAACCACTTTAATCCATGAAAATGGAACCTACTTCCCAGGTTTTAGGGAAGGAGCTTCTCTACATTTTGTCTATATTTTGTCCTAGGATTCAATAGTTCAGTGGGCAGGAAGCTCTTCCTTTTTTCTAACCTAAATCTTGCTTGCTATGGATTGGAAATACTTTTCCTGAAAATAGACTTGAGCAAACTCTGGGTGCAGGATCAGTTTCCTTGGAAGGAGAATTTTTAATCTCTTACCTTTTGAAGGCCCTACTCCGATCACTGTTGTAGAAGACAAGGAACTTGGAATATCCATTTTGAAAAAAGAGTTCCAGGGCAATATCCTAAAAAGAGAAATATTTTCTTCCTATACCTGATATTTCCTGGAATGGAGAGGCCCCAGGGCAACAGAGTTGCTGGCAGAGGGTCCTGTGGACCTCTGTGGCGGGCAACCCCATAAACAACTTAACTCCTTAATTAGACCTTCTGACTTCCCTTTAGGCTATGAAGACCTTGCTGATGGATGAGGGGGGTCTGTACAGAATGAATGGGAGAGCAGGGAGCCTAGCCTCAGCTACCACTTCCCCTGGACAAAGCAGGAAGTGAATGCCCCATTCCTGGGATGGGCAAGAAGCAGACCGAGGGAGAACATGCYCACCTGCACTCTCAAACACTTTCATTTCCAGGTCATGGGCTTGGGGTTTCCTAAACCAGGGTCACCTCACTGGAAACACCACTAGTTAAGTGGGGACCGCTCTCAACCTGGGCAGCATTGTATGCTCATCTGCAGACACAAGAGGCACCAGGGGCCTTGCTCAGTCCATTCTGTTAATCCATCTTGCTGTGGCTATACTGATGTAGCAATGTGGTTATTAATGCCTAAATAAAAACTCATAATTTAATTTTATTTCATTTTTCCTCCCTTTCCTCCCTCCTTCAAACTCTTCCTCCTTTCTATTCCAAATTATGTCAATAAGAAACTTGGAGTAAGGGATAGAGTGCATTCATATGTGGGATACACCTCGTGGGTGAGAGGTGGGGTCATAGAGAGAGAATTCTGGCTGGAGGGATGGCCAGAGAGGGGTGAGGCCTGGACATGGAGGTTCAGACTTAGAGATGGGCTCCTGAATCCAATCATAATAACATCCTGCTTCAATTTGGCTGGGAGTCAATTCTCCAAGTCCAGGACACTAATGCCCTTGAGCAGAGGGGAGACAGTCATAATGATATTGCAAGCCCCCTTCTCTGGTGGATATAAGACCCTCATTTTTTTCCTTTAATAAGAGAAAAAAAATAATGCACAAAACAGGAAGGGATATAGAATCTGTAGAGGCTACAGCTTACCCCGGCTACCTTGAGTGATAGGCTCAGGTTTCTCCTAGCAGAACCAAGGCTAGCTGATTGATTGGTGGCCTTGCTCTCAAAACTGCCCCCTTACCACCCCTGCCCTACTTGGCATTGCACACACACCCTTCCGCTTCTGGCTTCCACTAGTGTCAGGCTAACTGACCATCTGGAAATAATCATCATTTATTGGASAAAAAGAAACTCACTTACTCCACCTATATGCTACCAAATACAGCCTGTAAGGCAAGCATAAAATCATAAAAAATAACTTTGAGTGCCTACTATGTGGGCCCAAATGTGCTCAGTGTATATGTGCAAGGTAAGAAGAATAAGGCTTGGCTCTCTGTTCCATGATAGTGAGGAAGTTCAGAGAGATGCCGGAAGGAGCCACAGTGGGTGCAAAGAGCCCAGCTCAGCTGCACTGCCCAGAACCTTCCAAGTGGGGCTGCTCCTTCCAGTCACCATCTCCTTCTTGCAAAAGAGCTCCGGAAAGTCAGGCAAACTGAAAACCAAACACTTTTTGAGCAAAAGCAGCACTGAGTAAAGAAGAAAGTACAACAGAGGCCTAGACTCCAAGGAGTAGGCTGGACCCTGGTGAGMAGGGCAGCTGGAACTTTCTAGATTTCACTCCTGTGAAAGGCCTCCCTGAGTTTTGGTTTCAGACAATAATAATAATAATAATAATTCATGATGAATTAAAGTACTCCACACATCCAAACTAAATTTGCAAGTGAAATGCACCCTTATTAAGTTCATCAGGGATAAACACCATTCCTTTGCTAGGCTTTGGAACTAACTAGTTCCCTGCAGAGAAGGTGAGTAATGAATCCTGGCCCTTCCCCTCCTCCTACATGGTGCCTCACCCCCAGGCTGTGCACAGGTGCCAAGCACGCTCAAAGAGGTGTGTGTTCAATGGTGCTAAGAGCACACTTGTCATGACCAGGTCCTCCCACCTGCCTGCTCATGCTGTCAGAGCCCCACCGACATACCTGTAGGAGGAAGCGGGCCTGCCGGAGCTCCCTAAGGTCCCAATAGCTGTGGCGCTGGCATGAGTAATGGTCAGAAGATCTGTCTTTGCTGCACATGTTGAAAATGAAGGAATCGCTGATGCTGAAAAGGAAAAAAAGACATGTGTGCACACATTTGCACACCTGTGTGACAGCATCTGACAGGCTCCTTTTATTATCTGCCCCTTCACTAGCCTCATCCAAGTTTCTGGGGACATGCTGGTTGGCTGCTCTAGCCATGCCAACTACAGGTTGGCTTCTTCCATGGGTCTGTTCAGCCCTTTCTGATTGCTTGTCCATGTCCCCTCTGACACATGAAGCCCTGCCCTTGGGAGTAAGGTGGGGTGCCAGCCTCATCAGGTGATGGTGATGATGGAGGACTCTGTTGACACAGGGTATAAAGGCTGGGGGATGTGGGAAGACTCCCTGGGTACAGGGGTGTGTGAGGAGCTGTTGAACCTTGTGGCTCTTCAGTACCCTGGACCCACATCCCCTATCTCCACATCTCTGGCAACCCTGAGAGTATTCCAGATGATTGTCCTGAGTGGCTGGGGGGTCAGCCCGGGACAAAGAGGTCAAAATGAATTCTGAAGAATTGCTTAACCGCATAGCAAAACCAACTGTCTGCAAGCCAAGGCTTATTTGGTAGGCAAGATCCACGGAGGAGTGAGAGTAAGGGTTGGGGGGTATTCTTAAAATTCCCCAAAGCCAGGCCTTGTAGAGTGAGGAGAAAGCCTGGAGGCTGGGGTAGAGACCCATTCAAGAGGCAAAGTAGGGACACGCATGAGACCCGAGTCCTGCTCCCCACCCACCCTGTGGTATGGTCGAGTGGCCTGTAGGAGGTGGGAGGTAGTCTAGAGAGGAGTTAACTGTGATACTTAAGTGAGATCTTAGAGGCTTTCCCTGAAAGATGTCAGAATAAGCCCACCTCCTTGGGAAAAAGAGGAGAGGGAGGGAGGGGAGAATCTACAATTTATCCAAATATTTGTTCCCAAAGAGATTAACCTTGTGGTGACAGGGTGAAGTTTTTCAGAATTCATACAAAGAGGGACTTGAGAAATAAAGTTGATTTCAGTTACAGATAGTTACATTTATGTACAGCTGGGCCATGTAATCATCTTAATCTTGTATATAACCACAAAAATTCTTATTAAAATATCCTTTTAATAAAGAGAAATGAGGGCCTCCTAAGCACTCTGGCCCCAAGAAGCCTGAGTATGACCACAGGCTCAGAGAGCCAAGAGCTGAAAGACCCCAGCCCAATGTGGTCCTGCTGACCAAGGTCAAGTTTCTGGGAATAGTTGAGGAAATTGTTTTGTCTCTCCTAGTGCTGTCCTCTCTGCCCAKGCCCCAGCCTCCAGGGTCATAAGGCTTCCATGCCACCAATCTGGGGCAAACTGAGTCAGAGGTCTGGCTGTCCCAGGCCTGGCAGGAATGCTCCAGTACATAGTCAGTGGAGGTCCAGGTTACCCAGGGAAACTCTGTACCTGCACCCCCCAGTTTGTGGTCATTGCTGTGTAGAAGGGAAGCCTAAGCCCTCTGTGTACCCCCCAACAGAGCTAGACTTAGAAGATGCCATCGCAGGCATCTCTGTGGTCCTTCCCACCCCTTCTTGGAAGAACCACCCCAGGCCTTCTTCTCTGAGTCACATCACTGTAAGTCTGCTTGGATACAAGATGTGACTTTCATTCTGGCTGCTTCTGCCAGAATGATTTAATTCAAACCTGCTGCCGGCCAAGGCCCTTTGTCCATTATTAATGCCTCTGCTTGGTTTGAGCTGAGCTTTCCCCAAACTTCTCTGACTCCCAGTGAGGCCACAGTGATAATTCAATGTCTGACCCTCAGCTTAGGTTAAGGACAATCTCAAGTTTTCTGTGTTCCCATAGGCCTCTGCTGATGGGAACCACAGMAAATATCCTCCATGCCTTAGCTGCATGTTTGGCTGACTTCCCTCTCCTGTGAGCCATGTAATGACTCAGGCTTTTCCCTCTGGCTCTCTGTGTCCCCCATCTTCCCCCAAGCTCTGAGTATGTTTGCTCAGTGACTGTCATGCTCCTGGCCTGTTGAGAACTTTCCTGTCCATTGTTTAGTTTGATTTTCAAAATGAACCTTGACTGAACATGCATGATTATTACTTCCATATCATAAATCAGGAAACTGCATTCCAGAGGATGAGACTTTTCCAAGGTTGCATGGTTATGAAGAGATGGAACTTGGATTCAAATCCAGGTCCTCTTGACTCTAAAATCCAAGTTCTTTCTAAAACCCAATTTTGATAGAAGTGAATTTATCACCCCTCCCTGAGGCAGAAAGCCTCCCTAAATTTTCATAGAGATCTTCCCACAAACTCCTTCTTCTCAGTTTGCTCTGTGCATATGGATTCTGCAAACTAGGACTCTGAAACACAGAATGAGAAAGAATACTCTGGAAAATGACAAGGGGTTTTTAGGAGAAATKAGTCATTTTTCTCCCACTTATGGTAACTGTATAGCCATATAGGACAGGAGTCCTCAGATAGACCCAAATCTTCAGAAAAACTAAATTATGTGCACCATTGAGTTCACTGATGGAAGTCCAAATCGAGGAGTGTCTGTAACAGTGTTCACACAGATGTGATTGGGGGAATCTTGACAACAATACATGTTCTACAGAATAAATCTGAGTTGAGGCTTCCAAGGTTGATGAGTACGAAGGGGGAGCTGATCCATATTCTTCTTTAGGTAGATCTTTTACTATGATTCGTAGTATGCTGTTCATGCTTCGACTGTCTGATAGCTATCGTGATACCTGAACATTGTCCAGGGTGATCATAGCATAGCATTATATTCTTATTTATATTCTTACTAGGGAAATCACAGTTAAGTGAGTTATAATATTGGTTGACATGTTCTTTGATAGAAATGAATTTCAGAATAAAGTATATTTTGATTTGCTCCTCATTTGAAGTTAATGGATAATTGTCAGAATTATGCCTAGAATTTATACCTGGACTCATTCACTAGATCACAAACCCTTTAGCAGACTTGGCCTRCATCTGAATCATGTCTTCATATCTGTGGAATCTATGATGATGCCTGGTACAAAATAGATTATCAGAAATATTTGTTGAATTGAACTAAATARGGACAGGATGACTTAAAGCTGTTCAATGATAAGAAGTATCTTATTATAYATCCTATCACTAGAGGTCCAGATGGATGGTCTGGGATCCCACCAAATTAGTCAATGCTGTATATTGTGACTGCCATTGTTATGGGCAGGATTGTGTCCCCACCCCCAAATGTGTTTAAGTGAGAATGTGACTTAATTTGGACATAGGGTCTTTACAAAGGTCATCATGTTAAAATAAGGACATTAAGGTGGGCTCTGCTCCAATATAACTGGTGTCCTCACTCAAAAGTGAAATTTGGACACAGAGGCAGATGCAAAGAGGGAAGATGGTATGAAGCCAGGGAGAAGATGACCATGTGACTGGAGCAATGCTGCTCAAGACCAGGAACACCCAGGGCTGTCCACAAACGCCAGAAGCCTGAAGGGCAAGGAAGGATTCTCCCCCTTGAGCAGGCAGCAAAGAAAGGCCCTGCTGACACCTTGATTTCACACTTCTAGGTCCATGACACAGCAATCTCTATTTTCTTTGAAAGCCACCCTGTTTTAGACAGCCTTACCAAACTAATACAAGTGTGCAAGAAGGGGAACCCAACGTAAATTAAACTAACCTCTTTAGAAGAGTCTCAGTTTCTGAGGAAAGWTCCAAAGTACTCAAGTCAAATCACCAATGGGGAAATTAGAGTGTTCTTGAACTTTATTTGGGATATTTTTATGGTGCGTCAGAGAGGCTCTTTCAAGGTCTAATGCTCAACTGTACTTGATGGCAGTCTTTTAAAGAAGCATTTCAGCGTTGACTTAGCTTTATTTTTAACAAGCTTATTTATGCATCTTCCTTAGTCCCCATGGTCAAAATAAGACTTAATCCCCATTGATCTGACATGATCTAAAAGCCCATCTTTGAGAATTGCATCTGCGAGTGTGCCAGTAGTTTCTTAGGACCRTAGACAAGACCCCCCAGAGAAAGCACTCTCTGATTAATGCACACTTCCTTTGAGGTATGATAACTAAAATTACCTGTGCAATTTCCAAATGGTACTCTAGGGTAGGGATTTGTTTTCACTCTACTCCTACTTGCATTCTAGAAAAGTACATTTCCAAACAAGGGAAGTCTTGTTTAATTGAATCAAGTGCATATATATAACCTGACCACTGGACTTCTATTAAAAGTGCAGAGATAGTCAATTTGATCAGGATTAGATGCACCTCATCGACMCAATTTATCTAATCAATAAGACCTTATCTAGCACCAGCTCAATGTAAACCCGAGGTGAGGAGTGGAGCAGTGGATTATGCAAGTCATCACAAGGTCATGCCACGCAGACAGGTAGAGTTGAAAGCTTTCATCCGCTCTCAGAAAGGCAAGTTTGCAGACCCATTGTCCATATTGATCAGTGTCAATAAAACATGAGCAATGAGATGGGATGAGTATGCCAAGTATTAATTATGCTTCTCTTGCCTTGGAAAAGCACAGAAGACTTGCAGCAATTGGTGAACATTGGGTATGAATAAAAGATGGAAATTAGCAGAGAGAAAAAAAATGCCAAGCATTATAAAGGAAATCTAAATCAAAACAGGTGGGCTGACATCTACTCTTCCACACTCCCTCCATTCTTGCCTTCTGACATAGGCTAGAAATCATATGACAACTGGGCGTTAAAATTCTTAGTTATTAGCAAGTCAGGATTTTGATTCCTCTGTCTATATCCTGAAACAGTGATTCTCAAAAATGTGGTCCCAAAAGTAGTAGAATCAGCCTGAGTTAGATGGTTGGCAAAATCTCAGTTTCTCCCTGAGAACTACTGAATCAGAAACTAGGGAGGGGCAAAAGCTCAGAGGTCCATGTTCTAACAAGCCCTTTTGTGATTCTGAGGTGAGCTAGTTTTGAGAGTCACCTGGCTGAAAGTTACCTTGCCATCAGTGGCAAGTTAGCCATAAAAGGCAAGGCCATCTCTGCAGGAACAAATCTTCATCCAAATGTCTTCAAAAGCAATGATCAAGTGTGAACATACAACTTGACCACTGGACTTTTGGAAAGAGGACAAACACAGTCAATTTGACTTTGAATGGATGTACTTTATAAACAGAAGCAAATTGATCAATAAGAGCCAGTTGAACCCACAGAGACCACAAACATCATATGTTTAAGAAGGACCTCAGAATTTCCTGACAAAGATACCTGGTATTAATTAGTGTAAAAGGGGACAAAATTTCTAACAAACTCTCACCCATCCTTCACTAGACCTTAGCCATTTCCTCAGGTAGCCCTTCCTCACACCACCATTCCCAGGTTATCTTTGCAGTTACACATCATGAAGAAACACACATTTGGGGCTATCATGACAGCATGCTCCAAACTCTTTCCAAAAGAATGGGTTTATACTGCTAGCTATACTCATGTGCCTCTGCAATGAATGGGGCAGTGCCTGACATCTTACAAAGAACGGGCAACCAACAAATTTTTTAATGCATAAGCTGATGGGCATTTTCAAATAATCTGAGAAAAGATCCCTATATACCGTGTTACATTCCATATGATGACAGCTGTCATGTCACTCCAGACTTCAGCTTTGGGAACCCTGGTCATGGATAGCTTATAGCTGTAGACCCCAAGTGCTCCCATTTTATCTCAGGGCTCAGTTTCAGGCCCCAACCGCTCAGAAAAACCAAGGAGGAGGGAAAGAAGTAGAAGTGACTACAAGAGAGTTGGGGCTCAGGGAAGAATCCKCTGGAAGAAGTGGAGAACTCACTTGGATAAGCAGTGCCGGGTGCAATAGACGTCACCTGTGGGAGACAGGGTGAAGTTCTCACAGAGGTAGAAGTGCTGATGCCCAAAGAGCAGGACCCCTTCGGAGACCAGGTGGCCCTGCACAATCACCAGGGAGAACTTCTGGGTCACCTAGAGGGAGAGGATGCCAGAGTCAGGCTGTGTGCACATAAAGCATACTCTTACAAAGAAMAGGAGGACAGTGACCAGTCACCCACTGGGAACATTTAGAGTTGAGGTTTTTAACCTTGTGAAAATGACAGGCTGCATTCACAACCTGTGTAGCACTTCTACATCCAATATCCTGTGCAGTTTTTAGTCTACCCCAAGATACTGCCACCCCCATCATCAAGGTTTGCAGGCTATATTTTTGGCAACATTAAACATGTCAAATCCTTGCTTTCAGCCCGTCCACAATCATACAAAGCACTCTGCCGTTAGCAGTGAAGTAAGTTTGCCAGGCACAAGACATACCTCAGTTACAGAGGAGAAAGTGTCCAGGGATCAGCTGGTGAATAGCTGAGCCAGGACTAGAACCCAGGTCTGCCCAGAACAAGTTCAAGACTGGTCCTGCTGTTTACAGAGGGCCAAGGCAAGTATGCATAACGGATACTCAGGGTCATCAGATCCTTCCTCTTGGACCATAGCATGCGTTCCTCCAACTGCTAAAATGTTAGCAGCTTTCCAGAATTGCCTCAGCTGAAGAGGGCACCTGGGCCAAAGTCACATCCTCTTCCCAAGGGCATTGACCCAGCAGCTGGTCAATGTACAGTAGGGAGACTCAGCACCTTTACCTCTATTTTGGTCTATTGTAAAGAATCATCCCACACTTAATAGTTCCTAGGTGGGATCAGCTGAAGTGTTTGCTGATATTGCATTGGATTTACCTTTTTCCATTGAGACAGCCCTGTAACCCTCATTCCCAATAAACTTCCTATATGCATATTTTTGGCTCATGGTTCATTCCTCAGGGAACTTGACCTGTGACAATGACCCAGAGTTCTTCACGTAGTAAAGACTAARTAGATCCTTGCATGAAATAAGTCCCTGAAGGAACAAGTCAGTGAATAGTAATGATAGGAGTCCAAATGGATTGAGATTAAGGCCAAGGCAAATGTTTTCTCAGGGTAATTTTGTGTTAATTCCAGCTATACAAAAATAGAACTGATATTTTTGGAAGAAAAGAAGAGGTCTCAGGAAATAAGAACCTCACCAAAGTCTGGGCACAGTGGCACATAACTGAAGTCCCAGCTACTTAAGAAGGGTGAGGCAGGAAGACTGCTTGAGTCTTATTCAAGGCCAGATTGGACTACAAAGTGAGATGGWGGAGGAGGAGGAGGGGGAGGGAGGGGGAAATAAAAGAATCTCACCAAAATCAATTACATGATATTATAGTTTAAATGTGGTTCCTTCCACATCCCCCCAAAAAAACTCATGTTGAGGCTTAGTTTACCAGAAGAACAATATTGAGGTGGTGGGGCCATTGAGAGAAGTGATTAGGTCTTTAAGTTGGAAAAAAACAGGTTGTTATAAATTGAGTTTAGTTTCCTCAGCTTGTTCCCTTGCATCCTGTCTCACAATGTTATATTTCCCTTTTTCTCTCTCCCAGTATGTGGTGCTATCTAACTTGAGGCTCTCACCAAAAGCTAGACTTGGGCACCATACAGCCAACAGAATCATGAGCCAACATAAACTTCTTTTAAAATATATATTACCTGGTGTCAGGTATTTTGTTACAGCAACACAAAATGGAGTAAAAACTTAGCAAATGGCATAGGCTGGGACTAAAACTGAGCTCCTAGGTCACTTTTAGGAGCAATGATGAGGCCACAAAGGGTGACACCTGGAAAGCTGGCCCTGAATACCCGTTTTCCTACTCATATGGATTTAGTTAAAGTTAGGCTCAAAGCCCCAAGGCAGATATTCACTGAGGGTTGTGTTCCAAGATAAGCATTAACCATGTGATCCAAGGTGAGTCAGGACTGAGCTATTTTTCTAAACAAGGACCAGCCAAGAATCTCARTTCCTATAGCCAAGCCTACTGCAAGTAGGTGGCTCTCTTGGCTTCTTCTGAACCTACTTCATTGGAAAAGCTGGTCCTCAAGCCATCTTCTAAGCCACAGAGTTCAACATAAACTTATTTACAATTTCATTCACTCATCCAGATGGTTATGTGTGCAACAGTTATGGACTTAGCRCCTACTCCATGCCAGGCCCTGAGCCAGCCTTTGGAGATACAAGGTGGACAAGACCATCAGGAGCTCTACCCTGGTGGGGTTGAAAATGGGGGAAGTGGATATTGGATGAACATGTCAACCAGCAAACTATTACAGACTGTAATATGTGCTGAGAGAGAAAAATCGAGTAATAGTGATGGGGGGGGAGCTTAAACAGAGCACTATTTTATACAGATCCTGAGATTTGAAGAATGGAAATGGAACTGATAGTGAAAAGCCAGGAGAAGAACATCTCAGGGAAAGGAATATCCAGTTCAGAACTTAGAAGCAGGACACGATCAGGGGAGCAGGAAAGAAAGAGTTCAACCTGGCTGAGACGAGGCTGGCAAATAGGAATGTCCCCATGATGGGAACATAGATGCCTCAGAAAGTCACAGAAAGTGACTCCTATGGTTTTTTGCAATAGAAAACCATAGGAGGGCTCATCTATTTTTTTTAAAAAGCTGACTTTTGGGTGAAGAATGGGTTGGAAAGGTCAAGAGTAGAAGGAGAGGATGTGGCTTTTCTCCTTGAATCTGTGGACAGATTTAATAGGGTAGAGTCCCTGAGACTGAATACTGAGATCAGGTGGTTGAGTGGGGATGGAGGGAGAGAAGTAGATAGATCCAAACAAGAAGATGAAATTGGTCTAGTCAGACATGGGACTTACTGAGGAGAGCCAATAAAAAGGAAGAGGACTAARGATAAATAATGCCCAACTTTGAGACTTGAACAACTAGGTGGGGTCCCCAGCTTCCCTGTGATATTCTCCAGTGGCAAGCATCATGATCTCTTTATTGCATATACAGCCCCTGACTTATGATGGCTTGACTAATGATTTTTCAACTTTACCCTGGTGCCAAAGCAATATGCTTTCACACTTTGAATTTTGATATTTTCCCAGGCTAGCAACGTGCAGCATGATTTTCTCTTCCAATGCTGGACAGGGACAGGAGCCACAGTTCCCAGTCAGTCTGTGATCACAAGGGGACACAAGCAATACTCTACACCATGCTGTGCTGATAAATCATGACATTCTGTAGGTTAGGTGCACTGGATGCCTTTTCAACCTAGAATGTTTTCAAGTCACAAAGGATTTGAAAGGGTTTATTGGGACATAATCTCATAAAAAATCAAGATACAGCTGTACATTCTTCTGAAGATCTTACAAATGAAAAAGCATGCTTTTCACATATTTTTACCTGAATAACATATTCATATACCTACTGGTCTGCATCTAGCCTTGGCCCTCAACAACACATCTTGGAGATCCTTCCTAATCATTTCATAAAGGTTGTCTCACCTTTATGAACATGTTCAGGCTATACCCTTGCATGGATATATGCAACTTCTTTTACCAATCTCCTACTGATTTGGGTTGCTTTAAAATGTTTGACATAGAAAGAAATGCTGTAATGACCATCCTTGCACCACATAAGTCACTTTGAATACACAAGTAAATCTGTAGAATTATTCCTAGAAGCTGAATTGTTGGTCCAGGGCATAGGCATTTTAAATTCTGATACCTACTACAATTGGCCATCCTGCAAAGTGGCACTAATTTATACTCCCACCAGTACTGATAGGAGGGTGCTATGGTTTGGATATAGTCTGAATGTGTCCCCAAGGATTCATGTGAGGAAATTTGATTCTACAGTGAGGTAGTAAGGGGGTGGAAATTTAATCCAATTATAGTATTTAGAGATGGAACCTTTAGGAGGYGAGTAGGATTGGACAGATTCAATAGGGTGGAGTCCCTGAGATTGAGTACTGGTGACTTTATAAGAAGAGGGAGAGGGGTTGTAAGATACACACACAAAAAAACACATGATGCCTTGTGCCACCATTAGACTCTCCCAGCAAGAAGATCATTGCCATATGTGGGTCCTTGGCTCCTCAGACCCATGGGCAAAAACAAACTTCTTTTTTTATAAAGTCACACAGTCTCAAGTATTTCATTATAATAACACAAAATAGTTTAATACAGACAGTTATGGCAAGCTGTTTAAACTTTTTATCTTGTACCTTTTACAAAGAAGACTCCATCGTCAAGTTCACAAAATAGGATGTGAAGCCCTGGTATCAGCCCTGGCCTATGGACTTCTAAAACCTCTCCCCTTCTCCAGACAATCAGGCCCTCAATGTAATCTCCATGATACCTTCAATAGGACCTTGGAGCACATGCCATGATCTGGTACTTCCCTTTGGGGAGACTTAAGTAACAACCAGAATAAACCAAACCACAAGAAAAAATGTCTGGTGAGGGCTGGGTTAATAGCTTAAAAATTGATTCTGCTGGAAAAGAAATGGCATTTTAAAAACTTAGAAAATGAACCCAAGTGAACTATTACCTGTTCTTCCATTTAAATAAGCCCTGGGAGGACTCCATCCCTATGTTTACTCATGATTAAGAAATCCCTCATGCCATGATGCTATCGATCACTTTCAGAAGAGTGCAACTTCTGCTTCATAAGTAGAACTTTTTTAAGATCAGCTAGATGATATATTATCATTCCTGATGGGTGGATAAATAAGAAGGTAGCTATACATCCCTGTTGGTGTCTGGAATCCTGGAGTGCCAGAGCTGAAGTTAGTGAGGCAACAGACCTCTGGAATGTTCAATGGTGGCTCACACTAGCACACTCTCCCAAAATCAGATGGCAGTGGGCACATCCATAAAGGGCAACGGCCACTGGATGATCCCTAAAGTATTCTCTAGCATTATTAGTCTGCAACTTAGTGCAACACCCTGCTTTTGTAAGTGGAAAAACTGAGATCCAGAGAGGTCTTTAGGGTACACAGCAACAGAACTGCTCATGGAGATTTTTTCGTTGTTTGCAGAGTGAGTAAGTCTCCTGCAAAGATAGCTCTGCTCACATGTATCATCTGTCCCTCCTTCTACATCTTCTGCTCTCA